AAAACAAACTCATACAACCAGACAAAATAGACACGTCCTTGAGTCAAAATTTAATTTTCATTATCATACACTTATCATAATAATTTTAAGAGTGAGACAAGGAAGCAGTTTTAAACATAAAATAGTTGTGACAGGACTCGTACAGGAGACTAAATAAGTGAAGGCATGTGAGACAAAGTAATTAACACAATGAAAACATCCCGCTAATGGATTAGGCAGGCAGCTGAGAATATTATCAAAAGAGGGTCAAGTAATCTATTGAAATAAAGTAAACTCAGGATTATACAACTTACATATCATTTACTTCAGTAATGTTTAATCAACCTATAACTTACGTATTTCAGTTGTACTGTACTTAAATATTTGTTGTCACATTACAAGTATTTTGATTATTTTCCTACATTTTTTTAAAGTTTCAAGTCCCTTCATAAGATTATCAGATGGGGTCCTAAGTTGTGATTACAGACCCTTTGTGGTTACCTTATAAAACATACAGTAATAGTTAACAATAAATTTTTCCCCTTGGGTTTTTTTCTTTTTTTGTAAATTAAATTTTCTCTCATATTATTAAAATCAATTCATACTGTATTTGATTTAGTTATATTAATTTGTTTTTGCATTTTTGTATACATATAATGTATTTAAATTTTCTCTCATATTATTAAAACCAATTTATACTGTATTTGATTTAGTTATATTAATTTGGTTTTGCATTTTTGTATACATATAATGTATTTAAATTTTCTCTCATATTATCAAAATCAATTTATACTGTATTTGATTTAGTTATATTAATTTGGTTTTGCATTTTTGTATACACCAATCAGAAACGAGTGAGTGACAGTGACTTTAAAGTGATTTATGATAAATATTTTGTGACTGCAAACCAAGGTATAACAATTGTCATACCACAATGGTCAGAATTAATCAAATATTTGATCAGACTTTTTTATTGGTATTCTGTATCTTGTATCTAATATATATTTAATCAAACACTTTTCATGTTTGTTTGAAGTCGAACAATGTTCCACTTCATCGGAGAAAGACTCAACAATTTTTATGTTGGTTTGAAGTCAAACAAAATGTTCTACTACATCATTCAAACCTGATCAATCATTTTTCATGTCTGTTTGAAGTTAAACAATGTTCTAGGTCTTTCACCATAAAAAGTCTAATAAAATATTTTTCATGTTTGTTTGAAGCAGAACAATGTTCTATGTCATCAGAAAAAAATGTAATCAAACACTTTCCATTTTGGTTTGAAGTCGAACAAAGTACTTCATCAGAAAAAGTCTCATCAAACACTTCTCTCTACAGAGTAACATGCTTTCAGGAATTGGACTAAACATTGTAACATTAAACCTAATGAAATATATATTTGAACAGACAAATAAACTACCTCTGTGAAATATGCCAGTAAATACCAGCATGTCCGGAATGTTTGTCAGGAATGGTGATCAAAATTTAGGGTCTTGCACATTCAAAGTTATTTTAGATAATTTACAGCAATATTTTGCGAAAGACAACAGTATTTTAATTCATCTCTAGAGCAATACAAGAAAGTTTAGTAAATTACCTCCTTGGTTTAATAATACACTACAGTACTGTACAGTTAATCAATTGACATGTCTTGGGATTTTTTTTATAAAAAAAAATTGTTTATATAAAACACAAAAATCATATTTCATTGGTTATATTTTACTCGAGAAAAACTAAGTACTTTTAAATTCCTTTTAATTGGCCATGTCATAATTTTATTTTAAAAAAAAGAATGCCGAGAATCAGACTGGATTGTTGTCAAAGCAAACATATTCAACATTATTTTAAATGACTATTGGCCTATTTTGATACTAAAGTTTACTTCTTATATGCCTAAAAAGTAGGTGAATTTTTTTGGGCATATGAATTTACTAACAAATAATCATTAATAATTGGTTAATTGATATTGGGTCAATGAAAGAAAATGATGATGATGATAATGACAAACACAGGCTTAGCCAGCGAGCCGTCCAGCCGTCTTTTGGACGGCCTACAATTATTTAGGATGGCCGCTTTTACCGTGACGGCTTGGCCTAATCAGCTCGGCCTAGCCTAATTGGGCCTGGTCTACCTTTAGCAAATTCTTTATATTCTTCAAATCTATCGAATGTTACATTAAACTAAGCTAAATCATATACAGTACGTTTGATAAAAACAACATTTACTCATTGAATGTACGTTGTTTTCGTACAAATATTTGGTGGGGATTGCCAAAAATTGGCGTGGCCCACCCATCGGCTCAGTGCCACGCCCACTGACTTCCATTTTGGAAGGCCTATTTTATTTTTCTGGCTAAACTCCTAATGACAAATGATAATGACGCATTGATGATGATAATGATGACAACTGATAATGAATCAATGATGATGATAAATATAAATGAATCATCATTTATATTTATCATCATCATTTATATTTATCAATGATGATGATAAATAAATGATGATGACTCATGGATGAATCATGATGATTGTAGTGGTGATGATAAAAACAATGATGATGATGATGATGATTATGATGATGATGATGATGATGATGATGATGATGATGATGATGATTAGGATGATGTTGATGATGATGATGATGATGATAATGATGATGATGATGATGATGGATAAACATGATGGTGAATATGACAATGATGATAATGATTGTTAAAAATGTTAATGATTTACTAATGATGAACGATAATGATTTAATTTGAGAATTTATCAAACCCATAGAAAACAATGACAATGTAAAAACTAAAAAAAAACACATCTAGGTCTATGTTTATCCCAAGAAGGAAATAATACCTGCCAAAGCTTGTTAGTGACCCACTTGCTGCCGTGAGCATTTCTCTGACTAGATGTAGTAGATTTTTGGCCTCTAGGCCCAGAAATAACAGAGATATTTTCTGAATCTCTGGAGATATGAGTGAACACTATCTTATATCAATCAATACAAAGTAATGAATTTCATATTTTTATTAAAAGCTCGGATTTCTACCTTTGTTATGAGTAACTGGCTAACATGAAACCAGAATTGAGATAGTTGCTATGATGTTATGATCATCCTTAGTGATAAACGAAACAGGCACGCTACTCAACTCGGCAGGAGATAAAAACCGTAACAATTCTAAATGCCCAAATATCGAGAATGAGTTAAGTTTTTAAATTTGTTTTCCTCATTTCAATGGCGAACATAAATCTCTGATGTTTGAAAAAAAAAATTCTGTTTAGTGTTTAGAGAGTAGAATTCAATGTTTAGGACTACAGTACTACCATAACTACAGTTAATCGTCATCTATTATCAATTATTTAAAATAAAAAGCCCTGTTTTTAGAAATTCTCTTGTTTCTGAAAACTTCCATGGAGTTATTTTCTCCATCATCTACACAGTATCCTATACAAGTGCCAGACATAAATACCCAGTAGGTACAAACAAGATACAAAATAAACTAACACAAGTTCACCTGGCTATGAAAATAAATCTGTATAAGGTCAATTAAGGTCACAATATTTTCATCCTCTGCCTTTTAGTTACTATAATTTGTTCTGGAGGTTTTTAAAACTTTATCTACTGTAGTTCAGCCAAACATTCTAAAAGGCTCAATGTTCTGATAACACATATTTTGCTATTCACTTTGTGGAACCAATATTATAAGAACTTAATTGTTGAATCAAATGCAAAAAAAAAAATATAATTAGAGGACAGTGGGAGTAATGGGATAAGGTCATTGCCTGTCAATAACAATAATGATAATTATTCACGGCGTGATCACACCATCTGCACCCCCACCCCCACATCTGCCCCAGATACAGGCCATACCAGATTTAATGTAACAAAAATAATATAAATCTATAACATTTATGGAGGCCATCACTATTAACATATTATCTGTAGGTACACTTTAAACGTTATTTAAAATAAATACTTGTACAGCTAGCCAGCAGACCATCAAAGGTTTGATTAACCATCGGTATATAATGCAACATTGTATTAATATTATTATATTGTAATTTTATTTTATATTATTTTTATTATTATAGAACCAGCTCTCAATATTTATTAAGAAGGCAACATTTTTTAATATGTTTAAGGACTACCTAAAAAGAACATTTTTACTATATAATTTGTCTTTTCTTATATAGCACTCTGAAGAGAGATATCATAGGGCACTACCTGTATATTAAAAACCTATATATTATTATTATTATTATTATTATTATTTATTATTATACTGTCAGCCACCCTGCAGTGAATTGATATGACTGACAGGAGTGAAACCAAGTAAGCACTAAAATACACAAAACATTTCTAACAGTTCATAATAATGTTATACTTGATAGTTTAACTACAGACATTATGTGCCCTCCTGACTCCTAGTATACAGTAGGACTACAGACATCAACAGAATTTACAGCTTATCACCCTGGGTGTCCTGTAGACCTGAGTCTTATCTCTTTCCTATTAACTGCCAAATAAAACATTAAATTGGCTTTACTCAGCGACTTGAATGATATAATTCGGTTACAATCACAGTGAAATATGAATGACAGCCACCCTTGTGTTACATTGTACAGTAAATAAATAGGTGTGTAGAAATAAGTATGTGATGTGATGGCAGAGATAATAATTAAATGAACAGTGTTGAAGGGGAGGGCGATCTTTCCATTTAATCTGCTAGTAAAAAGTGGCTCTATATTCAGGGGGATAAGCTTTTTTATGTTGGACTTTGTGGTCAATACAGAATATAATATGAAGGAGGCTGCAGTGCCCAAACGAGACATAGAAAAATCAAGGCTTTGAAAATTTCAAAGAAGGAAATGTTTTTCCCTCTTTCTGGTCAGAAAAGTCATGGGTGATGGCCTGTCTCATGGTGGTGGGTTGGGGGTTATATTATAACATTGGCAAGGAGACATGGGCCACCTCTGGACTCAAGATGATTTTTCACGATAATCTGCTCTCATGCGGCTTACCTGCCCAAGATCTAGGGTGATGGTGACGTAATGAAACTGGCCACCATTTGATATCGAGGGACTCTGCCACCAGGAACCAGTCCCGTCGATGGCGTTGGTAATTTGATGGCGTTCTTTTGGATAAGGACTGTTCTGATCGCATATCAGACATTGTGGATTAATGTTTGTTGTCTGCTCATCTGGGATGATTTCAACCAGGCGACAGTAATTCTCGGGACCATCTTCGCCGCATGTTGCATTTGTGGTGATTTTGGCTTTGGTGGCAAGGTTGAAGATGTGAGGAAAGAGGCCTGGAAGACAAAAGAAATGAATTTTTACTATTTTATATGTCAGATAATCTTAATAACACCATAAAAATAATCCTAATCTGATTAATTGATAATCTTAATAACACCATAAAAATAATCATAATCTGATTAATTGTTGCAATTGAAGAATAAAACAATTATATCCATTGCCCAATAATTTGGAAATTTAAGTACAGATGTATGTCAATATTAAAGTTGCATTAAAATTTGACTGAAGCATTCTGGTTGTCAATCAACAGATCAATTAAAGCAAAATTATTTTTTAATGCTTCACATAAACCCTTGATGGCAGACAATTTAAAGAATTTTCCAAGTATATTTTTTTGAAATTTTTTCTTAGCTCTGACTATTAGCATTAAGAATGAGCCAAAAAATCAACCTTCTCCAGCACGTACTATAGTGCATAAATTCATACCACCACAAAATGCTTAGTGACAGAAAATATTTTTTTATTCCTTTAACATTTATGTGGCACCACAATCCTTCTGTACACTAGACATATAGAACTTATGTATAATTAAAGATATCTTCAGCTGACAAAATGCAAGTTCAAAAAGTACAATGAAAATTTTACTGATTCAGAAGAAAATTCTTTTTTTTTTCACTGTGATTATTTAGCAATAACCTTATTGGATATTAAGAAAGTGTCAATATCATGTCAGCCAATTATAATCCATGACTTTTAAGTTAATAGCAGCATGATGATAATCCATGGTGTTGATTCAATTATTTCAAGTGGTGGTACATTCACTTTCACTACTCCTGATAGTGAACTTGAACTTGCAATTGTTATTTCAATACTTAAATAACCTAGTTCAAACTTTAATTCACAGAGGGAATATAAGGTCCAAGGTGGCTTATAATAAGTCTATACTTAAAGAGACAATCTCTCACAACACTGTATAAGCTTTAAAATCAAATTTATGTAGGCCACTCATCCCTTGTTAAAATATAAATATGCTGAATTCTGTGATTAAATTCGTAATTCAACCTTACTAGGTATACACAATTGCATCCCATATCGTCATGGATCACTGATTATCCAATGCCAGTAAAATAACAATGAAGTTGAAGATGAAGATGATTAAATGTGTGATGTAATATGATCACATGATGAATGTAAGAATATACATTCCCATTTACAAACTACAAATTAAATTGTAAGTTTTTACAATGCCATTGAGGGATTTTATTCTCAATAACAATTACGTTTAAAAAAAAAAAACAAGATCACATTAACTACACATTAATATTCATGATTTCTGTTCAGAATTGTGGAGTTAAAGCTGCAAGTCCCAGATTATTTTCTACCTTTACCTTAATTTACCTTATAAAGCTACAATCTAAACTGCAACAAGTCAACCTGCAAAAATTCCCCTTTAAAAAACAGGATGTTAAATAATGAAACACATCCAACTTAAGTGCCATTGGCCTATATATGCACTACATAACCCAAAGCTGGTAAGAACACCTCCCAGGGGGAGGGTTAAGCCACTAACCCTCCCCTATTTTCACCAGATCTGTCACAAATGTAAGATAAATTAGAACTCACAAGGGATATAAATTCAGTCATTGCTAAACAAGATCTAATTATAAATGAATTCCCTAGGCAGTGATTGTTAACACACTGTTACCTCAAGTGTATGAATAATGTAAGGCCAATAAGGACCCACTGGGACCTCAACTCCAGCTATTGGCCTTGCACATGTTCTAATAGCTGAACTGCATTTCTTATAAAAGTGCAACCACTTTTAAGTATTCAATCTTTCTGGTTTTTGGAATATAGTCCAATTTTTATGTTCAATTTGCTTAATATATGATTGTACATGGAAAAAATATAAGCAAAAATACGCAGTTAATTCAACACAATACAGCAATGTATACCTATACAATAGAGAGACATGTAGGCCTACATAGTTGTTGCTTGATGGCCACATGTAATATTTTATAGGCCAATACATATTCTTTCTGTGACACAATAGTATAAATACTATTATACAAGAATACTACTGTAGTATACAAGAATTTACTGTAATTTCTGGCAATTTAAATGATTTTCTTTGTAAAAAAAAACATTTTCAGCATAACTCCACACAATGTCATATACTGTATGTACAAGTATCAAAACGAGTACAATTTTGCCCAGGATCAGTATTTCAATTTCAGGCTCAATATGTTATTTTGTTCTAACTTTACACATTTTTCAAAGATAGAAATTATTATTGGGAAAATAATGTATTTCAGCACAAGCTTAGCCAAGTATTTTGTGTCATTCCCTGGTGGAACTTAGGTTTTTCTAGTTATAAAATAAAAAATGCATTTGACATTTGACCTCAGTCTCTTTTTAAGCAATTTCAGTTTCTGTGTTCTTATAGAATGTGTTCTTATAAAAAAAAAAGTGAAGTTCACCATTCAAACAATGTTATTTTCTGCACAAACAAAGCTTAACGGATGGTGAAACCTTCACAAGTTTACAATCTAACCCAAATAAAAGGCTCTGTATTTTGATTATTAAATTATCAATTTCCATGACCTGAGCCTTGATGAAATTATATTCCATTATTTTTATAGCATTTTTTGTAAATGAACAAAATATGACAATAGGAATTAATATGAACAATTATTTGCTGACTACACATAAAATTTTGCCCAGGCTCAGTGTTCTTATTGTTTGGCCGATTTCAGGCTAAAAAATGTTCTTATTTTACACACTTTTCAAACATAAAAAATTATTATTGTACTGGAATGTAGGTAAAAATGGCCCCGGGGAAAAATGGGCCCTGAAAATAGACCCCGGAAAAACTGGCCCCAGTGTACCTCCTAAACCTTCCTTAATGGCTGCTACAGCTTTGTGTCACATTATAGTACATGCCATCCCAACCCACAATTTTCTTAGTCTCTGCATTCCTTGCCACACCTCCCACTACCCCCCCCCCACACCTCCATCAATCAACTCCCTACAATGTTTTGTTAGCATAGACCAGTAAATTAATAGCAGACCAGTAATTTTCAAGGTTTTATTCACAATGCAAAAAAATGTGTTCAATACCAGTACTGTGCACCAGCCTAGAATGAATCTTGCTGAGAATAATGTGGGGGAAGCCATGATTTATTGGCCTACTGTAATGTATTGTAAACCTTCCTTGCGAAAATTTTGACAAGGAAATACTGTAACAATCAAATATAAAAGGTACTCACTTATGTACTTAATTATTCATACAGTATGTCTTACTTGAAATTTGAAATTAATTGAAAACTGTAAATAAAATCAATACAGATCATATTTTTAGGTTGTCACTGTCACCTTAGTTGACATGTTTGTTCCAGTAAAGTTTCACGAACATAAATCATAAGTTGGGATTGAGGAAATTGGTTTGTTTTTGTTCTATGTATTTTCAGTTGGTGTTTATTGATGCTGTGTCAGTCCACTAACCTACTGTACATATAAGGTTCCCACCAGTATTAATAAAAATGGTGAATGAGTCTAACATGGGCATACTGTATGTTTTTCATACAAGTTCAGGTTAGTATACATTTAAATGTGATAATTGATTTACTTCAATTCACTGGAAAATGGGTCAAAATCACTTTTCATCAGGCTCATTATTCACTTGGTTTGATAGTCATAACATTAGCTTCCCCAGATATATTATATACCAGAGGGTTACTAGTCATAATCAAGAAAGATTTGCTAGTCAAAAAAAAAGTAGCACTGTATAGCTACTCGATAATATACCCTCAAATGAAGACCCCTAACAATAAAATATAAAAGGTACTCACTTATGTACTTAATTATTCATACAGTATGTCTTACTTGAAATTTGAAATTAATTGAAAACTGTAAATAACATCAATACAGATCATATTTTTAGGTTGTCACTGTCACCTTAGTTGACATGTTTGTTCCAGTAAAGTTTCACGAACATAAATCATAAGTTGGGATTGAGGAAATTGGTTTGTTTTTGTTCTACGTATTTTCAGTTGGTGTTTATTGATGCTGTGTCAGTCCACTAACCTACTGTACATATAAGGTTCCCACCAGTATTAATAAAAATGGTGAATGAGTCTAACATGGGCATACTGTATGTTTTTCATACAAGTTCAGGTTAGTATACATTTAAATGTGATAATTGATTTACTTCAATTCACTGGAAAATGGGTCAAAATCACTTTTCATCAGGCTCATTATTCACTTGGTTTGATAGTCATAACATTAGCTTCCCCAGATATATTATATACCAGAGGGTTACTAGTCATAATCAAGAAAGATTTGCTAGTCAAAAAAAAAGTAGCACTGTATAGCTACTCGATAATATACCCTCAAATGAAGACCCCTCTAATTTTAGACTATTTTCTCAAAGAACCAATAACAATTATCTTTTAACAAAAAGGAATTACCCTTTGATTATATACCAAACCGCTGAGACCGCTCCAAATTTTCAGGTCCCAATGGTGGTTTTGAAATGGTAGGGTGAACTGTATATATGTTTGCTAGTCATAATCAAAAAAAAGATCATTTAGTAATAATGTATAACTGGTTATAATGAAAAGGGGTTCACAAATTAATGACTGGTAAACTCTTTTTAAGTACTTTGGGTACCCTAACACGAGGTTGAAACACACGAAAAGAAAGTGAGCCTACTTTGTATTTTACTATATGTTCATCCATAAAACAAACAAATTAATCTTTTGCAGTAACTGTAAATCTGTTACTGCATAATGTTGCAGTTAGGCCCTATAAAAAATATTGTTAGTTTATCACCCTATCTGTGCAGGAAAAGTGATGAGGGAGAGAGGCTTTTTTTAATTTTTAATTTTGCTAAAGCCAAATATCTGGTGCATTGATATTTAAAGTAAAACATGATTTAGATAATGTAAACAATATCTACTAACTATTTAATAAAATAAACAAATAAAATAAAATAACATTTTTTTTCAAATTTTTTTCTTTTTTTCAAAAAATTTTTTTTACAATTTTTTTT